GTGAAAGTGAAAGTAAGTCACTCAGTCGTGTCCGCCTCTTTGTGTGTGGACTGTAGTCTACCAGGCTCCTCTGTCCATGGGATTCTCCAGGCAAGAATACTGGAATGGGTTGCATTTCCTTCTCCAGGGGATCTTCCCGATCCAGAGATCGAACCTATGTCTCCCGCATTGTAGGCAGACACTTTAACCTCTGAGCCACCAGGGAAGCCCAGTAGAAAATAGAAAACACATTGTAATTTGTATTGTTTTAGACAAATACTAGTTGTTAAGTTTAGCAATTTCTTTTGACAGAATTTATTGGAATTATGTATCATGTACCAATCTAGGCACTGGAATTATAACTATCATCACAGTCTAGCAGGAAAGACATACATTAAAAGTGAACGTAATAACAGCACCATGTGGTAATAAGTATTTAATACTATGAATAAAAAGTGTTTAATACTAAAATGTTAATAACATGTTATGTTAATACTATTTTTAATAACAAGTAACTAGATAATAAGTATTTAATATTATGATGTCTTAAATCATTGTTCACCTGATTTTGAGCCAGATTTTTGGAAAGAGAACACTTTCGATTTAAGACAATGCACGTTGTAGTGTTAAATAAATCAACATTCACTATGAAGAATTCATTCTGTTCTATGCAGTGAAAGTATAAGTACCGTTATCTTTTTTTCAGAAGACTCTGTATTGGAAATCTACATTAGTAAATTGTTTACATCTTTCTATTTTTTCCTTTCTTTTTCATACTTTACTTTTGTGGATGACTAATATTAAGGCTTAAAAATCTTTTATCTGAACTAACTGCCAACTTCTGCAATTTTCAAATATCTTTCAAAAGCAGAAGAAAATTTACTTAGAATCATGACTATAATTCTGGAAACTATCATCAACAAAAATTAAAGCTGAACTTAAAAACCACAGTGCTTCAGAATGAGTTCTATATTTTTGACAAATACTACAACTTATGAATTTTGACTCTAAGCCAGAATAACATGTTCTTACAATAACATGTTCTCATTTGTAATATTCTCTAATATGATCTACAAGGAATTACAATTGCAAATCATCTCTGCTTTTAAAATATGCTCTGCTCCAAAATTGCATATGATATCACTTGTTTGAATTTTCACACCGCTTTTTTTGTCACACAAATAAGTGTCAGCTTCTGTCAGCTTCTTCATAATATTTAATACTGTGTTGTTCATTGTCTTAAATCATGTGTTATCTTTCCTAAAGTCTTGCTCTCTCATCTGTTTTTGTGCAAGACTTTAGGAAAGAGAACACGATTTAAGGTGATGAATATTATAGTATTAAGTAAATAAATTAAAACAAATATAATACTAGTTTAAGATGCATTGTTTATATAAGCACCACAGTATCAGCAAATGAAAGAAAGTAATAACATATGTAAGCATTTATTTATGAACTTGGGAAAAGGTTGAAAGGTTGGCCTCTTTACTGTTTGTCTTGATATTGCCCTTCTTCCTTTCTGTATTCTTTGTTCATTGATAGTGTACTTCTCTTTTAGAAGTCTCATAAGACCATAAATCTTCTTAGTAAAAACCTACCAAGGTTGGTGTTTGCCTCAATCCTCTGAAGACTTTTGTGCTCTAAACTGTGTCCTTTTCGTGTCTCTCTATTTCAGTTACATTTTGTTTCCTCAGTGGAACTGAGAACTCAGCCACGTTTTAGAATTGCTCATTTTCTAAATGATACAAAAGTGTGAACCAGTAATCCTTTTGCAGGATTATTTGCATCTTAGAAAGAAGATGCATGTTTATCCAGGACACTTTTAGTTTTGTTCATTTAGTGAGAGGCATTGTGCAATAAAGCGAACAGATTTTTGCTTTGAATTGACCTGGGCAGAACCTAGTCTTTCAGTTTGGAAGTTTATGTCTTAGAACAGTTTACTTCTTAATATCATTTTTAATTTTTTTTTCCAGTAAAAAAGGATGTGAGAGAAAGCTTATGTGATGCAAAATAATTTATAGAGATAAGAAAAAATACTAAAATTAATGCTCATCTTTTGTAACAGGAAAGCTATAGATGGCAACAAGTTAGAGAACTGAAATAAGAAATTGGGTCAATGTAGAAGTTTCGAAGAGTTGACTCATTGGAAAAGACTCTGATGCTGGGAGGGATTGGGGGCAGGAGGAGAAGGGGACGACAGAGGATGAGATGGCTGGATGGCATCACCGACTCGATGGGCATGAGTTTGAGTCAACTCTGGGAGTTTGTGATGGACAGGGAGGTCTGGTGTGCTGCGATTCATGGGGTGGCAAAGAGTTGGATACGACTGAGTGGCTGAAGTGAACTGAGAAGTTTTTGATGTGGTCGGTATCCCGTAAGTAGCAACCAGCACACATAGATGTGCTGTGTCCACACATAGTGCTTCTTGGCTGCTCTTGGCTTTCTTGGCTTTTACCTCTGTTCTCTGTTCTATTATTACTTTAGAGGACCCCTGGTTGAAAATTTTAAAACCTAAAATTCTAATTTTTTAATCAATTCTAAATTGTTTTTTTTTATCACATTCATGAACAGTGATTACCTACATTCAGCCTGATACACCATACATAAGTTCATGTAGCACTTTCAATTAAGTGCTTTTCTGCACATATCTTGTTTTTGAGTCACACAGGTAGGAAAAGTAACATCATAGGTGTTACATGTCATTTTTTAAATGACAAAACTGAATCTCAGAAGTTTTGTCTCTTTGGGAATTTTCAACTTTTTGGACTAGATTGGAGCAGTGCTAGGTCCTAGGTATACCCGTCTGATCAGTCGTTTACTTATGTCTCAATCCTTTCACTTACGTCAGTTTTCAGTCAAGGCTCTACGAATTGAAACAAATTTTTATGCCGTAAGGGGATTCCCAGGTGGTGCTAGTGATAAAAATTCTGCCTGCTAATGCCAGAGTCACAAGAGATGCAGGTTCGATCCCTGAGTCAGGAAGATCCTCTGGAGTAGGAAATGGCAACCCACTTCAGTATTCTTGCCTGGAAAGTTCCATGAGCAGAGGAGTCTGGCGGGCTACAGTCCATGGTGTTGCAAAGAGTCAGCCCTGACTGAGCAATAGAGCACAGCACACACACATTGTTCCATAAGGGTGATGCTGTCACAGTGTCTTAGCTATTTGGGGAGATGCTAAGACAAATGTATGATGACGTGATCACTCACCTGGAGCAGACATCCTGGAATGTGAAGTCAAGTGGGCTTTAGAAAGTGAAGTCAAGTGGGCCTTAGAAAGTGTCACTATAAACAAAGCTAGTGGAGGTGATGGAATTCCGGTTGAGCTATTTCAAATCCTAAAAGATGATGCTGTGAAAGTACTGCACTCAGTATGTCAGCAAATTTGTATGTCAGCAGTGGCCACAGGACTGGAAAAGGTCAGTTTTCATTCCAATCCCAAAGAAAGGCAATGCCAAAGAATGCTCAAACTACTGCACAGTTGCTAAACTCAAAATTCTGAAAGAGATGGGAATACCAGACCTCTTGAGAAACCTGTATGCAGGTCAGGATGCAACAGTTAGAACTGGACATGGAACAACAGACTGGTTCCAAATAGGAAAAGGAGTACGTCAAGGCTGTATATTGTCACCCTGCCTGTTTAACTTATATGCAGAATACGTCATTCTGGAGAAATGCTGGACTGGAGGAAGCACAAGTTGGAGTCAAGATTGCTGGGAGAAATATCAATAACCTCATATATGCAGATGACACCACCCTTATGGCAGAAAGTAAAGAAGATCTAAAGAGCCTCTTGATGAAAGTTAAAGAGGAGACAGAAAAAATTGGCTTAAAACTCAGCATTCAAAAAACAAAGATCATCACATCCAGTCCCATCACTTCATGGCAAATATGAGGAAACAGTGGCTGACTTATTTTTCTGGGCTCCAAAATCACTGTAGATGGTGATTGCAGCCATGAAATTAAAAGACGCTTACTCCTTGGAAGGAAATTTATGACCAACCTGGATAGCACATTAAAAAGCAGAGACATTACTTTGTCAACAGATGTCTGTCTAGTCAAGGCGGACTTTTTGGTTTTTCCAGTAGTATGTATGGATGTGAGAGTTGGACTATAAAGAAAGCTGAGTGCCGAAGAATTGATGCTTTTGAACTGTGATGTTGGAGAAGACTCTTGAAAGTCCCTTGGACTACAAGGAGATCCAACTAGTCCATCTTAAAGGAGATCAGTCCTGGGTGTTTATTGGAAGGACTGATGTTGAAGCTGAAGCTCCAATATTTCGGGCACCTGATGCGAAGAGCTGACTCATTTGAGAAGACCCTTATGTTGGGAGAGATTGAAGGCAGGAGGAGAAGGGGACGACAGAGGATGAGACGGTTGGATGGCATCACCTAGTCAATGGACATGAGTTTTGGTTAACTCCGGGAGCTGGTGATGGACAGGGAGGCCTGGTGCAGAGTCGGACACGAGTGAACGACTGAACTGAACTGAAGACAAATGTATTTTAAGATAATTCAACATAACACAGTTAATATGTCTACATTAAGCGACATAATATACACCTTTGTCCTGTGTAATGGCTTTGATTTCATTTATAAATGTAAGTATTCCTTTATTAAATGTTGCATTCTGTGTTTGTTAATCTTGTCATTCTTTTTAAATCGATTGATCAAATGTGTTGTTTTTCTTTGGATATACTAAAAAGAGCCACGTAGTTTCTGATTGTGTCTAGGCTATACAGAAAATACTTTATTAAAGTAATTTACAATTCTTATAAAGATGAATACTCCAGGTAAAGATATATTTTAAAAATCTAGTAATGAATTGCTGATTCATAGTAAAGATCCTGGCAATTAATTAATAAATGTATAAATGGATGGTTTGAAAAACATACTTTGGTACCTCTTGGATATAGATGTGACTAATATTACTTGAAAGTGATTTATTAAAGTAATAAAGTTTAAAAAAATAAAGTAATATACTTCATACATGAGTTCATTTTAATTTTATTTTTCTTTCTTAAGGTTTCAGCAGAGCAGCTTTACCGTTTGGGCTAGTTCGTCGAGAATTATCCTGTGAAGGTTATTCTATAGATCTGCGATGTCCAGGCAGTGATGTTATCATGATTGAGAGTGCTAATTATGGTCGGACAGATGACAAGATTTGTGATGCTGACCCATTTCAGATGGAGAATACAGACTGCTACCTCCCAGATGCCTTCAAAATTATGACTCAAAGGTAAATGTTCATGTGTTAATATCTAATTTTAGCTACAACATCCTAATTAGTGAAAGCGTTATCATAATTCCATACTCGATGGATACAGTCCATATCTCATCCTATTCATTAAACCAAGTTAGGGTTTTCCCTACTAATGTTGATTTCTACTTTATATAGATTGACATATTTATACAGTGACATAGATAATGACATAGACTGAATTGTTATACATTTTTTCTATATCATATAATTAAGAGTAATCAAAATACAGTCTTTTTTAAGACTTCAAAATTTTGAAATATTTTATAATATCAAGAATGTTTCAGTGTCTGGGTCTTTGGCAGTAATTGCTCCTTAATATTTTCAATGAGTAGACTTCATTTTTCAGCAAAAATTAGCAGAATGTACACAGAATTATCATATTCCTTCTGCACACATGTGCAACTTCCCTAACCATTAACATCCTGACATCCCTTACCACAGTGTTAAATTTGTTGTAATAGATGAGCTCACATAGACACATCATTATCACCCAAAATCCTCAGTTTGCATTAGGGTTCAGTCTTGCTGTTGTACATTCTGTGGGTTTTGAAAAATTTATAATGACCCTTATCTACCACTGCAGTATCATACAGAACATTTTGATTTAAAAATTCTCTGTGCCCCACCTACTGATTCCTCCCTCCATCTGACCCCTAGCAACCACTGATCTTACTATTTTCTTATAGTTTGCCTCCTCTAGAATGTCATATAGTTGGGATCATGCAGTATGTAACCTTTTCAGATTGGTTTCTTTTGCATAGTAATATGTATTTACATTTCCTCTATGTCTTTTCATGGCTTAATAGCTCATTTTTTTAAAGTGTTAAATAATATTCCATAGTTTGGATGTACTGCAGTTTATCCATTCACCTACTGAAGGACTTGTTGATTGCTTCCAAGTTTTGGCAATTATGAATAAAGCTTCTGTGAACATCTGTTCAGGTTTTTGTGTGGACATAAGTTTTCAGTTCATTTGGGCAAGTACCATGAAGCATGATTTGTTGGATCTTATGGTAGGAGTGTATTTAGTTTTATAAGAAACTGTCAAAATGTCTTTCAAAGTCACTGTACCATTTTTCATTCTCATTGACAACGAATGAAGGGTGCTCCATACCTTCAACAACAGTTATTGTTGTTAGTGTTTTGCATGCTGTGAGTGCATCCCACCTGGCTCAGCAGTAAAGAATCCACCTGCCAATGCAAGAGACACAGGAGACATAGGTTCTATGTCTGGGTCAGGAAGATAATCTGGAGAAGGAAATGGGAAGTCACTCTTAGTATTCTTGCTTGATAGTCCATGGACAGATGAGCCCTGCAGGCTGCAGTCCATGGGATCGCAAAGAGTCAGACACAACTGAAGCCACTTAGCCACATGCATGCAATGACATATCATGTTTAACATCTCTTAATATACTTATTTGCCATTTATTTATGTTTATTTAGTGAGGTGTCTGTTCTGGTCCTTTCCCCCTTTTAATTGTGTTGCTTTCTTATTGTTTAGCTTTAAGAGATTTTTTATTTTTACTCTTAATTTTTTTTTGGCTGTGCCGCAAAACCTGCAGGATCACAGTTCCCCAACCAGGGATCGAATCCATACATTCTGCTATGGAAGCATGGAGTGCCAACCCCTGGACCAGAAGAGAATTACCTTTAAGAGTTTTTTTATAAATACATTTTGGATAAGAATCCTTTATTCCATATGTCTTTTGCAAATATTTCCTCTCAATCTATGACAGGTATTAATGCTCAGTTTTAAAAAAGCAAACAAGATAACAACACATTATGAAAGCTAAGAAAACTCAGTAGTGTTCATTCTCTCTCTTTCTTGATTGATAGATAGATAGATAGAAAATGGTGATAGTTTAGTCATCAAGTCTTATATGGCTCTTTGTGATTCGTTGGACTGCTAGGCCTTTCTATCCCAGGCAAGAATACAGGAGTAGGTAGCCATTTCCTTCTTCAGGTTATCTTCCTGACCCATGGATTGAACCTGGGTCTTGTATGTTGCAGGTGGATTCTATACTGACTGGGCCACCAGGAAAGCCAAGACAGAAAATAGATAGAGAGAGAAAGACAGAGAGAATGGAAAGAAGGAAGGAAGGAAGATAGATGGAAAGAAAGAAGGAAAGAAGACAGAAAGATATTTGGGTAATATACAACTGGTTAATTTTGTGTTTTAAGATTGATGTACTGGAAAGTGTTATAAACTATAAAACATGAGTGGTATCTCTTAACTGGGCAGTTGCCTTCCTACAAGTAAATAGGATATGAAAAACCGCTGCCAATGTTTATGGACTTTCTCTGCCATAACACAGATTACCTAATTCTTGACATCTTTTTTTGTTTTGTTAAGCTTATTACTCATGGCATCTTAATTAGAGTTTTCTTATATGTAATATATTAAAGATTTAGTTATGACTGATCTAAGACAGCAATATCCAGCAGTTCCTGTTATTTAGAACATAAAAACTCTGACGGAAAACAAGTTTGACAGAATTTGTTACACATTATTGATTTTGGATTTTTTAAGAAAAAATAGTAGGAAATCCCATTATCTTTCTGTTCAAAGCCTATACTCTCTCCTCCTGACTCTTTTCCTCCACTGAAAACAATCTTTTGTCCAGTAGCTTATGTGCTAATCTACCTTCAAAGTAGAACAGTAGATTTTTGGGGTCTGATCAGTGTAGGCACAATGCAAACATCCAGATGTGAAAAGAGCAACGAAGGAAATAATGGAAAAACTATTTAAAAAAAAAATCCAGTCCCTAAGAATATGGGTACAAATTGCTGTGAAATCTCTAATTTCATACAGAATACATATTAACATATTTTTATTGATAACACATTATAGTGAGTAGGTTTTTTGTTAATGTTGATACTGATCAATATATTTTTAATAAATAAGAGAATATATAATACTTTTGAAAGATTTCCATCAAAATGTTTTTATGTTTAGTTTGTAAAGGGTAGTTATTTAAAAAAGGTAAAATCTTATTTGCACAAATGGCACTGGATACATGTTGCTTTTTTTTTTTTTTTTTGCAGAAAAGTCCTTTATAGACTATGTTAGATTTGAAATCTAGCTGGTGAAACAAATTGCAAAACATAATTTACCTTCTTTGAAGGAATGAATTCTGTGCTCCAATAAGATAGTAATAGAACAATTTGCACCTAGTATTTCAAAAATTGGGAACTGCCCATGTTAGGTGGACATTTACATGTTGATCCTACTGTTCAGTGGTAGTGATATGAGATGAACATCTAAAATTAGGCCAGAGAGAAATAGGAAATGAGAAATGATTATGTATAATTATCTGTTTTTATTAGACTGACAGGCAAAAAACAGTGGGAGTTAGTACAAAGAGAATCTGAAAGACCTGGCCCTGAGGAATTGCACATTGTAGGTAACTTTTGTTTATGAGTTTATTCATTTAAATACATGGTTGAGTATCTAGCACAACACATAAGCCTTATCCTACTTCTTAATATAAATATAATGACATGTTATAGTAAATGTACAAATAAGATAGCAAGTAATTTTCATTGTTTTATTATATTATAAAAGCAGGGCTACTTTTTTACAGCACATTTTTAAAAAATTTTCGCTGGGCTGGGTCTTCATTGGTTGAGCATTTTTCTCTAGTTGTGGCAAGCAGGAGCTACTCTTTAGTTGCAGTGCATGGGCCTCTCATTTCAGTGGCTTCTCTTGTTGCAGAGAACAGGCTCTAGAACATGGGCTCAGTAGTTGTGGCATATGGATTTAGTTGTCCTGTGGCCTGTGGAATCTCCCTGGAACAGAGATCGAACCCATGTCTCCTGGCATTGGCAGGCAAATTGTTTACCACTAAGCCATCAGGGAAACCCTTGATGACACAGTTTAAAGGAACTAAAGTTTGTGCATATTTAAATCCTGTGAAAGCATACTGCTGTTCCCTTGTTACAAAAATTTCTAATCAATTTATGGTTAGTGAAAATAAAGAGTTCTAACACTGCTTGTAGAAACTCTATTTTTAAATTGTTTTATTATATTAGTGGCTTTATAATTATGTAATCAACACAGTGATGATTTAAATGTTAACTTTTTATTGACAAGAAATACAGTGTTGTTTTAAATAATGAGTTTCGCAGTGGTAATTTATCAGTACTCCATTCTGTGTATGTTAGATTAAAAACCCTAAAGGAGGTCTACCATATCTGACTGTTACATAGTTTCAAATAACTGTAAGAAAAATAGGTAGACAATATTTTTGCAACTGAATTATTACAGAATAATTATTGACTGTGTAGAATACTTGTCCCTTTTTAAAGATATCCTTTCAGTATTTACAAATAAAGTAAGAGCTTTTTCACCAAATCCTAATTATTTGGCAAAATTTTTCCATTTATAATCATCAAAAGATATGTTAATAATTTTAAAAATCAGACTTTTTTTCTTTAATGTAGGAAATTCCTTTTTGGAAAGATTAAATAAAAGCACTAGATTTTTTTTTGTTGTATTTGAAACTCCCCACTTTTTGTGTATAGTAATAGATAACACAGAAATTTCAATACCATGAAAATATGTTTATATTTTACTTCAAGGCTTTCCTACCTCCCTTCCTCATTGTCATCACTTCACCAGTTAAGAGTCAACTGACTAAATACACTTGTAATTCTTTGTGGTAAAAGTATTAATAATTGTTATTTATTCTCCATTTTATATTTCCTGCTTATTTAAAACTATGCATCCAAGGCCTTTTTTGTAACTGATTCTATTATCTTTTAAATGTATTGAACGGCTCATCCTGAAAAGTAAGAAATGAAACTCTTTCCTAAATGATACATGTTTTAATACTCTATAAAATAATCACCATTAGAGATAATTCCTAGCACTCTCTGAAGATAATTGTTGTGAGTTCACTTAAGTATGAAATAGTTTCAACACTTTGAATTCATTAAGGCAAATTTTAAAAAACCCTCTTACTACTCATCAAATA